AGTACGCGGGCCTCTCACTGCTGTGGCCTCTCCCGTTGCGGAGCACAGGCTCCAGACGCGCAGGCCCAGCGTCCACGGCTCACGGGCCCAGCCGCTCCACGGCATGTGGGATCCTCCCGGACCGGGGCACGAACCTGCGTCCCCTGCATCGGCAGGCGGACTCTCAACCACTGCGCCACCAGGGAAGCCCTGTCAGAACTTTAAATGGAGTATAATCTATAAAACTATTGAAACGCTACGTTATACACCCAAAACTAATATAATATTGTAAAATATTTTTAAAAAAAAAGAAAGAAAAGGGCATGAGGCAGAGGGTAGGGCTCAGGAACAGGTAGGAGAAGCCCAATTGTCACACCTGGGCCACCAGGTCAGGCCTGAGGGACAGTGAGGGAACTTGGTACTGCTGAGCTCTACCTGGTGAGCTGAAGATTCTGAAACCCCTGAGTCCTCATGATCACACAGACCACAAGCCTAGGGCAGGGACCAGCCATGGGCAAGGTTGGGAGTGGTGGGGTGGGCTTCCAAGGCCATGCTCCAATTTTCAGTTTAGAGGCTGCAGAAGCAGACCTTCCACAATGAGCTATATCATGCTATGACAGCCTATGAAGAAAGATCAAGAAGGTTTCCCAAGTCACTGACACTTGAGCTGAAAGGGTGAGTGGAGCTAACGAGGCAGATTAGAGAGAGAGAAGGTTCCATTGTTCTCCATCTCCAGGGTCTAGTACCGCATGCAGCATAGAAGACGTGGATGGGTGGGCGAACCGATGGATGGATGGGTGAACCAGTGATGAATGGGGGCCTGGGGTGTCTGGGCTCGGAAGTCAGGGAACCCAGAGGAGAGGCTGTTGCACCAACATCAGGGACAGCCAGCGAGGCAAACACTGGGGTGGGAAAGGGGACATTAAGGCAGGGGAAGGAACAGTGCAAAGCAAGATGGCCTGGGTGAGCAGATGAACAGGGTACCAGTCCTTAGGCAGGAGACATCACAGGAGGAGGCGGAAATAATGAACTCAGGATGGACACCTGGAGCTTGAGGTAAAGGAGAAACTTAGAGACAGAAGAGGCGAATGGCAGAGCCAAGCCTCCCACCCAGGGCTCCCGACTCCCAGCCCCAGCTTCTCAAAGCGGCTGAGCCCCGCTCTACTAACTTCCCACATTCCAGGGGCACCCCTGGCCCCAAGAGGTGGGGGAGGTCCAAAGCCATGGACAAGCCCCAACTATATGGGCCTGGCCTCCACCGGCACTGGCCCAGTTCAGTTCTAGCTGGTCTGGGTTCTGGTCCTGACCCCCCAGCCCAATCCAGCCTGGCCCCTCTCCTCACCAGTGTGGCACCCTGGGCATCTATCCAGTCAAGGTCCTGGCCGGCTGCAATCATACAGTGAATGTCCGAAATCATCTGCTGCTCAGGAGTTGCCCGCTTCTCGTTGATTTTCTCTTGGGTGATGCCTGCAGTGGGGAAGGGGGGATTGAGTCAGCATTCCCAGGCAGAGAACCCAAGGGGGAGAGGAGAGGGGGAAGATTGGGGAGGCATGACTCCTGTCCCCGAGGGTCTGCCAGTCAATGGGGTAGATAGATATGCTCAGAGATCATTTCTCCCAGGCCCAGTGAATACAAATACCACGTGTTGGGCCACAAACAAGGTCCATTCCTGCCTGGTACCCAGTCGGCCTTGTAGTAAAATTGATTACTGTTATACACAAAGTTTCTTCTACCCCTACCATCCACCTACCTGCCTCCAACTGCTCAAATAGCTGGCTCCATCTCATCCTTTAGGTCCAGCCTGGACCACCTCCTCAGCTGGCCTCCCCTGACCACTCTATTTGACCAGGTCTCTGTTAATTTCTTCTATTTCATCTACAGCTGTATTTGCAGCACCAGGCACGATGCTCAATGAATCTTTATTACGGCAATGACTGAATTATTGAGCATACAACTTTTGAATGGAGAGCTGAATAAATCGAGGTTGAGGGACACAGAAACACATTTTCAAGCCTGAATCTCTGGCTAAAAATTTAAGTGTTACTAGCAGCTGCTAATGGTATTGAAGGAGAGAGTGATTTGCTCTGAAAAAAATGGTCCCTGAGATCAAGCATTCTTGGATAGAATTCAGGGGAGGTCTAAAACTTGAAAGAGAAAAAGAATGACCTGTTTATTTTCATTAACCTTTAAATGAAATGTAGCATTTCCTCCCATTAGAACGTACGCCAAATTCACAGAATTGGCAGTGCCTGTGACTCTGTCACCAACAGAAACTGTAGGTATTTTCATATCATGTTATCTTATTGTTTCACGAATCAGTAATGTTTCTATTTCACACATTTAAAAATATTTGGGGAGCTCTACTTTAATAGAAGTGGTTTCCTTTATAATCCTATGGCTTTGATAACTGCATTTAAAAATATTATTCTGAGAAGGGTCCATAGATTCACCAGATTGGCACAAAAATTGTTAGGAAGTTCTGCAGGTGAACAAGGAAAGTGCCAGGGCCAGGGAACCGGCAGGCCAAAAGGGCAGTTCCCGCAGCCATCTGGGAAGAAACACAAGCACAGGGCCCGGACAGGACCTTGGACTGCAGTCCAGGGTCTGGATTTGAGATTTACTTCTAAAGAGGAGGTCCTTCAGGGGTATGCACTGGGGTGGCGAGTGTGGGCAGATCTCTCTGATTGCTGCATTCATTTCCTCTCTGAAGCTCATTTGTAAGCTGAGAACAGCCCACATCCTGTTTATCCAGGGTCCCTGGCAGCCCGTGTGGTGCCTGGCACAGATCAGGCAGCCGCGAATGTTCTTGACTTTGTATTATTTTTCCCAAACGGGAATGTATCTTTATTGTGAATGTTTGAATTGAAATTGTCACAGCTGACGAAGAGACCCGGCCAGCTGAGGCCACCCGTGTGTGTGGGTGACACAGATGAGAGCAACGCCCCCCCTTGTGCACAGCACGTTTTCCAGGGTTGTTCTGTGTCCGCATCTTGCCCATCACATGGGTAACAACCATCGTGGGGCCCCATCCCAGTTCCTGAGCACTGAGCAGGCGGTGGGCACATTGCTAGGTAACTTGTTCAGCTGCATTGATGTGAGAGAGCCGCAGCCCCGCACTAAGCCCACTTCACCGCAGGCGGCCCCGCCCTTACCCTGGTACGCCATGCACGTCTCGATGACATCCAGGGTGGGCTCATCCTCGCAGAGGTCATAGGGCATGTTCCCATCGGAGTTGACAGCAAGCAAGTCGGCCCCACTGCAGAGAGAGGGCCAGGGTGAGGGCCAGCTATGTGCGCAGAGGGTTGGTCTGGCTGCCTCTACCATCCAGCCTTTCACTCCCACCCCACTATGCACCCCAACATCCACAACCCGACCACGGTGCAGCCCAGCAAGGATAGCATCTCCAGGATCTCAGAGGTCCCAGGTGGCAAGGGGCCAAAATCCCAGGAGAGCTGTGCCAGCAGACTTCCCCCAGCTTTCCGCTCTGTTGAACCAGCAGGCAGGCACTTGGGCACAGATGTCAAATAAGAAAATACAACATTAATGGCAGCAGCACTGCTTCCTAGGCATCTGCTTAGAGCCAGGCTTGATCTAAGCCCTTTACACTCATCATTTGATATAATCCTCGTAACAGTCTTCTTGGTTCAGTATTATTGGCCCCATCTCATGCAAGGGAAACAAAGGCTCAGACAGGTTCAGTCACTTGTCTGAGGTCACACAGCCAGGACGTGGGAGGGTCAAGACTCAAACCTGGCCCTTTCATGGGCCAGCTCTTTTCACTTATCCTTGTACCCTCAGCTATCCCCTACCTCCTCCTCTAAGTCCCTGCCTAAAAGGCTGACCAGGATAGGGACAAGACAGAGCCTTGGGGCTCCATGGCAGAATATGCCTTTTGGGCCACTGGTTCCTATGTGCATGGTTCTGGGATGCCCTGCGGCAGCATCACCCAGGCACCACTGAAATAAAATGCAGCTTCCTGGGCTCCACTCTGGACCTCCTGAAACAGAGTCTCTTGGGGGTGGGGTGGGTGGGGTTGAGGATTACTTTTTTTTTTTTTTTTTTGGGGGGAACATTTAAGTTCTACTCTTTTAGCAAATTTCAATTTCTGTCTCTTATCACCTCTTTTCTTTGGGGC